CCCACTCCTGCATTATAGGCATAATGACCCCTCCCCCACCTTGATTATGATAGTTCTTAGTCTTTCATCAATCAAATTTCTTTTCTTCAGCTACTTATTTCTTTGCAACCCCTGGGAATTTCTCCCCTTGCCAAGTGTGCCTGCTTTTCTCCTCAGACCTGATCCTTGCCCCTAGTTCCTGAGATCACATTCCTACAGTAAAATTCCAAAGCCTGGAATACCTCCCTGATGTGGGCTTCCTTTTGGAATGCAAGCTGATAAAGACCTCCCTGACAATACCCCCTCTCCCCCTCCCCCGTTGAGATCGTGGTTAAGGTTAGGACTTTCCAACAATGTGCTCAAAACAACGGGAGCCGATTTTTATTTTTTTACAGGAAAAAAAACGTTTCAGTTGTTAGCCTTGGAAAGCTCCAATCTTTTGTGCTTCATTCATTTCTTTTTTCTGGGCATTACTGACTTCCTTCTGCTGTTTGCATAACTCTAAGATGGACAGACTCTCCAAAGCACACTGGCAAAATTACACCCATGGAAGAACAAAATACCACTTCCATCCAAGCTACACAAAAGATTTGCAAAATTTATTTGAGCTAAAATAGCAGGTGTCTTAGAGTACATCCATACTGCAAATAAAGAATTATAGCACAGGTAGGCATACTTAGGTCAGAGACCTGGCAACATAGATACCAGCAAGGACCAGAATCCTGAGTGAGAATACAGATAGAGCTCTTGCAACAAAGTTCATGTCACCCCATCTCTACTATTATTGTTACCTGTGTTAGCTAAATGACCAATAGCCTAAGCCACATTCATTTTTCTGTGAAGATGCAACCTAAAATGGCAAGAGCAGAAATCCTGATAATTTGAGCAATTGAAAATGCAGTGCCATGAAATGTGGAACGGGAGAGCTGAAGGGGCTGGTAACAGGATTTGGAATTTGAGATCAGATCTTTACATCTGATTTGAGGGGAGTAAGGGGAAAAGGATTTAAATCTACTTTTGAGAACCTTATTTCATGTGGTAGGTGGAGGTTGGTTTGGCTCCAAGGGAAAGAAACCTCCAACTACTCTAAACTAAACTGGCAACAACCAAAGCTTAAGGACCAATCTACCAGTTCAGCATCATTTCTGACACACTTCAAAAATGGGGTGGACAGCGGAAGGGGTGCAGGGGTTAAGGCAGGAATGGCATTGAGCCACATTGCTAGTGCTACACCAGCATTTCTCTTACACAAAGGAGAGGATTAGCACTTTTCCAGGCCTTTGGCATAAGCAATAAGTGGCTTTATGTCAGAAATAAAGGCCTGACCCTGTCTAAGCACAGGCCACCAGATCACAAGCTACATTTTCTTATCGTTTACAAACTGGACAGTGGCATGCTAAATTGAAATATGCTCCCAGAACCCAGTACTCTTTCCTGCCATGGCAGGGGGTCAGACTCGATGATCTGCTCAGGTCCCTTCCGACCCTACAAACTATGAAACCTCTATCAACAATGGCACTAGCAGGCACTTTTATTCCCAACTGCTACAAAACAGATTGAACAGAGAATGAACTGCCATCTCAGCCCTAGGCTTGGTCTCTCTCAAGTATAAAAATGAGACACAATGGCAAGTGATTTATTTCAGCAACCCTGGGGTAGCATGGAGTTTCTCAGAGGGGAAATAATTGGAACTCAGAAAGCAATAGAAGGCCACTCCAGCTGCCTTCTTTTCTTTTATCTAACAAAGATCTCATAGACGGCAGTTAACCTAACTGTGACAAAGAAACCTTTGCAAGAAAAAAAACAAAATTAAGGAGGGGAAGGGAAGTGGGGCTGGAATACAGAGACTTCTGAAAGAGCAGTTCATGTGTTGTCAAATGTTTAACAGGTTGAAATAGGAGCTGCTGTGCACAATGGTTCAAGTGTATGGATTTCAAAAGGGGCATCTGGGAATTAAAAAAAAAGATCCTTTTAGCTGGGATTGCAAAGTCAAAGCAGCAGCCCTAGAAACAAAAGAAAAAACATTAAAAAGGGAGGAGCTATTATATTTCACTACTGAATCCCAGCTGTTGATCAAATTCTAAGAAACATTCTAGGTTTCTTGGAAGATTGAGACAATGGAGCTCATTTAATTGCATGCCTTATATGCCAGAGAGCTTCAAACATACTGTGCCAGAGTAGACTCCAAAACAGCCATGCACATAGTATTTTAGACTCTTGAGCACTGCTGGATTTAATGTTTATTGTGTATTAGGGCCAGATCCAAGCATCCTTATCATCAGCCTGAAAAAGTTTTAACTTTTTAACATTAGAAATACAGGGAATGAGATTTTTCTTTAGACCTAACAGGATGGATAGTTATCCACTGCACCACGTGGGTGAAATATACAGGCAATCCTCGGACTTACGACACAATTGGTTCCTGAAAACGGCATCTTAAGTTGAAACGTTGCAACTCAAAACCAATTTTCTCATAAGAAACAATGTTATAAATGGGGTATTGGTTCCTGAACCAAGGCCCAATACACCTATTTTCACCAAAAACACCCCAGAATTTTGTATTTGATCAATTAGAGATGAGTAATATAGCTTCAGTAATGTATTTATATTGTAAATAGCATTCATATTGATTTGGAAGGACTTCTTTGAGGTGACTTGGCTGGACTTTTTGAAGGGCTCTTTGTTGGACTTTTTGAAGGGTTCTTGACTGGAGTCTTCTCAGGAGTCTTGATTGCAGGTTTTTCTAGAGTCTTGTCTGCTTTCTTAAAGAAAGCATCCAAGGAAGTTTGGACAGATGTTCTCCAGGGAGATGAGCAATGCAGTAAATTTGTTCGCTGGCATGGCGTCACATCGGATCAAGCGTTGTAAAGTCGAAACTAACATCATAAAGTTGAAACAGGGTGTCAATTTATAAATGCTGTAACTCGAAATGTTGTAAGTCGAGGACTGCCTGTATATACATCAACACAGAAACAAAACAGCAGCCTCTCAAAGACAGGAACCCTTATAAGTGAAGCACCAACTACTCTCTGATCAAACTGGGAACTTTTCTCTGTTTGGAAGTCATTTTTTCTAAGTACTCTAAAACCCATGTGTTTGCACAGATACTTGGTGTGCCACACAGGGCTTCAGGGTAAGGCTACACACCCAAATTTGGGATCATTCATGCCTAGATCTCCCAAGATTCAGAACACCATGGGGACACAGCAGCAGAATTTCTTGAGGGTTGAAAACCTGTACCAATCTGCACACCAGGGATCATACCTTCCTCTGATTTTGTAACACTCCACATTTTCATAATACTCCACATTTACTCAATTTGTATTTGGCACTCAGTAACCCTTTGGGGAAGCAAACTTAAGAAAACAGTATTTGAGAGAGAATTTCACTCTCTGAATAGGTATGTGTAGTTAGAAGCCAAACAGATTCTACTGCATATGTGCAGACAGAACACATGGAGAAGATCTAGCAGCCATCACCTAAACAAGGTAGCTTGAAGAGGCATGCCTACACTGTTTTATATCCAATCCTTGGTCAAAATCGTAAAACAAATAATCAAGTAAATAAGGACAGGCATATTGCTATAAGCTGACCTTATCAAAGTGTTTCTTAAGGAGGTGGTGAGAGATGGGTGAAATATAATTTGAATATAACAGAAAACTCAGAAGGGACTTAAACTATTTTGGAAAAGAAGATATCAGTAATTACATATGCAAATACTTGCCAGGAGGGGAAGGGGAGTTAGGGGCTGATGGACCAGAGAGGCTCAGGGCTGTATTGAGGATGACTGGGGGAATGCGAGAGTGGTAAATGGTTCAGACCAGGGCAGAAAAGTGGAGAGTAGGAAGGGTAGGAAAGGGAAGGTGGGAGGCAGTGTACGTAGGATAGATTAGGGATACGGTCACCTCCCACTGTCCCATGTATGCTAATTGGTAGGGATCCCTGTCCTTCTGGAAGCCTGAACTCCTCTCCAATACCCAAATGTCTCAGGATATGGGGAGATGTCACTCTCATAGGATGACCCAAACTTCTCTCCCAACCTCTGATATAAGCCAGGATTCTGTACTAGCCCTGAAGATAACAGTTTCTGACTTTTCAGTTTCAGCAGATGCATCCCTTTGTGAATTTTGCTGGGACAGAACAAACTACTTTATCCTCACATTAGCTTTGATCTTCTGGATTTTCCAGTACCAAGTGTCCGACACTCACAGTTGTTACACGCTTCACATTTTCTGCTTTTGTGCTCCAGTGGATGAGTCAGCAATTAGTGGCTTAATAATGGAAGTTAAAAACATTCAATTAAACAAATTATTCTGCGCTAAATACACTGTTTAGAGCAAAACAATCAAAAGTAGGGAGATAAACAAAGACCCAAAATCACCAAGGCCTTTTTTAATATGAGGAAATAGCTCACACGGATGGATTTATTCCAAAGAGCTCCTATTTGATGGGTTAGCTCCTGCAAAAGGCAAGAGAAATAGAAGGATCCACAGGAATGGGGAGAATGGAATTGCTTGTTCTTTCAAATTACACCCTAATTTATTCTACAATAGCTTCCCCATCTATATACACCATTTAACAGGTGCATTAGGTTTTTTCTAGTTGATAAGGTTGTATCCTTTTATTTAAACTGGTCTAGGAATTCATTTAATTCAAATCTACAGAACTTGTGTGGATATTTACCCTTGTTTAAGACTGCATCATACAAATTATGTCAGTTAAGTTGGATTTCAGTTAAATTTAAAACTAAAATCACAAACAACCAAAACTAGATACAACTTTCTCATTTTGGTCAGGTATAAAGGAACTATTTAAGGTAAATTGACACAAGCAGGTATGAGGTTGGTTTAAATTATGGGTTTGCATCAGTTCAACTGAAACAATTTCAAACTAATTTAGTTAAGCTAGAGCAGTTTTCTAGTAGGTGTTTTTTTAAGTCTTGTTTGTATATTTTCATGAAGTCAATTAACTCTGGTAATTTTTTATATCTTTAAATCAGACATTTCTACACTGTCAAGGCGTCATGTAACAACATAGCTCACCTTTATTATTTCCTTCAGCTTTGTACCCAAAATAGGCATCCACATCTATAGAAAGTGGAAGAGCAAAACATACACCAAAACAGCATTCTCTGTTCACTATAGTGTTTATGTTTTACAATTTTTCCTACCATTTACAGATAGGACAAGGTGCAAGAGAATCAGTTTGTTAAAGTCATGCTTACTTCTAGCAAACTCAAATGGACTTAAGAGGAAGTTTTCAGGAGCAAGACAAGATGATTCAGTACTTGTACATATGTGGGGCTATGGTGCAATCCAGGAACCTGAATTGCTAAATAGGCTGAGCATTCAGTTGCTAACTGATGAATCTGCTTCCCTTCTCTCTTGTCATGGAACTCAGGAGATGAAGGCTGGCAGGGACGGATGAGAAGGACAGTTGCTGAAACGTGAGCCAGGGTGTCTGCAGGACCTTGAGAAGAGAGTGTGGCAGCTGGAAGCAATGAGTAGTTTTTCTTGCAATTCATGACATGCAGAAACCTAGGGCCTTGGCAACTAAAGAGCTTTGGGTGCTTGTCTTGAGTCATGGTGCACCTGATGTGTAGGTCATCACTGCAGATGAAAGAAAGGACTGGTAGAGTCCAGTGACCCTAAAACAGCAGTGTGGGAAAGAAAGAAAAAGGATAACAAATGATCTCATTAATATACAATTCAATCCTACTTGTACATATTATAGGAATCAAATAGCAAAATTCAGCACTGTTGTCACTTTTTTCTTAATAATCCATTCTATGTCAAGTGAATCCTCCTTCCATTAGTCCCCTTTTGGTCAGCCTATAATTTTATGGAACAGGGATAAGGCTGGGAATCTTCAACTGAAATACTGTATCTGGTTTTGGATATTCCACTTTAAGAAAAATGTGGACAAATTGGAGAGCCCAAACAAGCACAACAAGAATAAAAAGATTAGAAAATGTGGCCTCTGAGAAAGATTGAAAGAACTGGATTTCTTTAGTCTTGAAAGGACTGCATGGAGATAGGAAAACAGCCTTTGGAAATATGCTTGTTATAGAGAAGACAGTGACCAACTGTTTTTCATGATCACTGGTTATGGACCAAAAGAAATTTGCTTAATTTGAAGCATAGAGTCGTTCAATATTAAAGACATAGTTTGTAACTATAAGGGTAGCAAAGCACTGGATCATGCTACCTAGGGGGGATGTTATAGAATTGCCATTACTGGAGGTTTTCAAAAATAGGTTATGCAAGTGTATTTCCAGGATGGTTTAGGCATACTTGATCTTGCTGCAGAGCAGGGGTTGGAGGTGCATTTCTTGGTAACTGTCCTCAGAGCAGGGGCTGACATTTGAGTCTTATGTCATTCTTCAAAAACCTTAAGAACTTCACACCAGCTGTAGAGCATTAATTGTCTAATCCCCTTTTTGTTGTATGGTTTCTGAGACTTGTGCTGATTTCTACCTTACAGATATATGAGATAGGCAGTGGTTTTCAATCTATGGTCCATGGACACCTGGGGGTCTGAAGACTATATCTAAAGGGTCCACAAAAAAGACCATGATCAATCAAAAGTATGTGAATACCCACACTTACAATTCAAAGGGGTCTGCACCTCCATGCAAAATTTCTAAAGGGGTTCACACCTCACTTAACATTTTTTAGGGATCCACAAATGAAAAAAGGTTGAAAATCACTGAAATAAGAGTATCCTCAACAGCATCCCTGCACTCAACAAATCTGTCAGGCACCACTAGAGGGAGCAATCAGGAGAGTGATTAAAGCAAAGGCTGAAGCACAACAAAATCCCCCTTTCCATATCAAGATCAGCTGCAGCACCTGGAACAGTATGACAATGTGGGTCCCTCCATATCATTGCAGTGCAGTAGTAGTACACCAAGCAAAAGAAATGCTAGTTAAAAAAGAATGTACATTTCAATTCTAATAGAAACATACAGAATTGTGTTTAAACAGTGATTCATCCATACATCTTTATTTTCAAATAGAAAAACCCTAAGTAAAGCCTTTAACAGATGCAGTTTATCTAATCAGTTTCAAATTAAGCAGAGCAGAACACCTGAGAGTGTGACCTGCTATAAGACATTGGGGTAGTAATTCATAAGGTGGCCTTCTCCCAGTCACTCATGGAGGTCCTCTCCTCTTGCAGTCATTAATGATCTTCTGAAATTATTCACACCTAAAAGGAGGGGAAGGGTAGGGGGTGAAAGATGTAGCCTGGCAAAATTCCACTGTATGTAGATATATTCTCACTGCCTAACATTCCACCTGAGGTTTTAAACAGCATGTTATTCACTACTTGTCTAAAAGATTTCCATTAGTATGCACTATCAAAAGAACTGCTACAATTACACCCAAAACTGGCTGCACTTCATGAGGGAGAAAGCAAGGATTAATTTAATTTAATATCCATTTCATACTGGAATGTGCATTTATAAAAAGTATTCCCCCCCCACCCCCATTCCCACCTCTATTACAAACTCAGCCACTCCAGGAACCCTAGTTACAACATAGCTGTTGCCTACTGCTGTCAAAAGGAAGGTGATTTGAGATGGGGTTGGTGTATGCATTCAGTTTTAGCAATATTTACAAATGTTTTATTCCTTGATATAAGAACCCAGGAGAGATTTTATAAGCATCAGCAGGTAAATCTTAGGTAGCACAAGGATACCTAAGGTTATATGAACTTTCCTAGACAAACCATTAAAATGTCCAGCAGTTTGCACAGTCCAGTCAAAACTAAAGAAAAACGGCAAGAAGAATTCTCGCTCTAGTCTACCCTTCAGAGTTACCTGCAACAAGGGCTTGTGCAGCAGTCTTACTGGACATTGTCACCTGCCTTTAGAGGCCCTAAATTCTTGCTGGGCAAGCACGAGTTCTTCAGTTTAAATCTGATTTGTGCACTTTTAGTAAGGTTTGCAAACATCTTCTCCTCTTGGATTTTAGCCAAGTAACTGAGGTCTCAACCAGCAAGGCTTCTGTCCTTCTGCAGTATCAAGGTTCTAATCATTTGGGGTGGGCAAAGCAGGATGTTAAGCAAGTCTATTAAGGTGTTTGACCATACTGCTTTGTTTGCGCTAAATTGTTTCTTGGCTTGCACAGAAATCAGACCTACTTGGCCTCAACTAAACTGCAATTGCATTTGTATTAATGGACGGTCATCCATCTAGGGTGGTGGTCCTCAACCTCTTTGGACTCGACACCCCCTGGAAAATTCCAGCTTTTTAGTTCTCTCTTATTTTTGACTACAGAAATAGAGCAATTCTTGTGTTGCAAAAACCTCAGATCACACAATAGGCTAGAAAGAAATCTGTAGTGTCAACAAATAATTTGAAATCTCTGGGTTTATTATGTTTTCACACCTAACAGGGTTAACATTGCGCAGCGCTCTTGAAAGCACCTCACATTGCTTTCAAAGCATCTCAAAGCAGCCCAGGGCGTCACGATACCCTGGTTGATATCACAGATCTGAGGCGAACAAAAGTGACTGGTCCCCCAGATTTCTTGGTGTAGGTATTTATGTGGCTTCATTGCTGGTGAATCATTGATGGATTCTACCTCAACAAACAGAGCTATTATGGAGTATTAACACCCCTATTATACAGGTGGAATTTAGGCATCAGAAAGATCCATTGCGCCAGGACAAAGAATCCTGTGGCTGAGCCAGAAAATAAACTCAGGTCTTCCGAGTCTCAGAATCCAGTGCTCTTGTAGGCTGAGCTTTGTACCTTGATTTGGGTTTCACCACAAATCTATGGTCTTCAGAGATCTACTGCTGAACTTCTCTGAGCCTGGGCTCAAAGCTATACATTCAGTGCAGGATAGCTATTTGTCAGCTCACCGACACAAGAGTGCTATAGATCGCTCATGTCCCTGCTCTGCATTCTGTACTGGGATACCTGAACAAATTCAGATTTAGTCCTCATATTTAAAATACTCCTTTCGATTATGTATCATGGGACAGACTGAAGGAACCATCTCATTCTACATGATCAGAGCTTCTCCATTCCCTCAGACCCAGAGCACAGGTACTGTCAACAATGAAACTTTTGCACATGAGCAACGTGTTCCCTTGACAAACGAGTGGAACTGAAATCTCCAAGTTGCTCCTGGAAAAGATCAGGATGCCCACTCACATCCAGACTTTCAGAAGACAACTTCCCTTCCGCTGACTTGATGCTATTCCCATAGCAGAACCACGTTTAAAAGCAAGTATGTGAAAACAAGCACAATATATACCAAATAGAGCCCAATTCCTACCTTCTTACATGCATAACATATAATGTTGAAAGGTGACTAGCTAGGAGCGTTGGGAGCCATGGAAGACGTGTCTACAGTGAGACATCTGTCTTTGAGAACTGATAGGCTACTGCTATTAGTAACACAACCCAGGATTCTTGAAACCTCCTCTGATTTTTGTGACCAGCTCCAAACATAAACCATACTGGAACTGGGGAAGAAAAAGTAACAAAATTAGAAAACAACAACCTGCAGTCACTGGGAGAGATTGGGACTGCAGAGCCACAGAAGGGAGCTCAACTTCTAAGAAAAGCAAAAGCTCCTTCCAGAAGTGGAAATATGTAACACAAAAAATGGGCAATGCATGGGAACAACTTTCTAGCTAAGCAACTACATTAAAGCAAGTTTCTTTTCATTGCCTCCTTAATCTCCTAACACAGGGACTATGAATCCTTTCTTCCTCACTTCCATCGTTAACTGCCAACCAGCATAAGACCAAGTCTACCCAAGGATATACATTTACACTGACTTGAACTAAATGTGTTACTTTAAAGCTAATTAGTTAAACATTCAGTTCCTGGAAAGATACTAATGCTACACAATAAATCAAAACAAGGCCACTTGTATTGTTAACAGGAGCATCTGCATAGTAGTTTAATGCAATTTAAATTAATCCATGTTAATGGATTAACTTTCCTAAGAATGTGGGTGTATGAGTTCCAAACAAAGGGATCATAATATAACCTGCTGTTTTCATACAACTAAATTGATGCATGGATAAAAGTAAAGGACAGTTTTGCCCACAAGATGGCCTGTTTAAGCAAAAATGACTTGACGCTGGAAAATCATCAGTTATGACTTGTGCATCAACCAAATGCTCCTGTCATCACTACTAGCAGTAGCACTACTACTTCCATGTGGCAAAGCTGAATTTTTGACAGATTACAAAAAGTGGCAGCACAGAAAAACATTAGTTTCCTTCGCATCTCATGGTGTAGCTTTTGGCAGGGTATTCTAGTGAGAAAATAAAATTCCTTAACATGAATATGTTATAGTGACAGAATGAACACAAGTGCATAAAAAATTCCCTTCATTCAAAAATACCCATGATTAACAATGAAGATAATTCAAGAAGGGAAATACTATCTTCCACCACACTCCCTCCCACCCTGCCCCCAACAGAACACTGCAGAAATGCTTTCTAGACCTGGACCGTAGCTTACAATGTAATAAAAATATCAAGACAGATACTAGACCATAAGGACAGCTCAAAGCCAGAGGGAGGTTGAAATAAAAGTGAAACACTCATGCTACAGTGTACGAAGTATAGCCTGCCTTGTGCCAAGTATTCCACAATAAGAGATTTGAAAGTCCTTGTTTATCATCAGGATGTTTCCCACCTTTTTATGCTACTTCATAGCAAAGGGGCATACCTGAGCCTACACTAAGAGTGAATGCCATTCATCTTCTGTATTTAGAAGCACTGAAACATTCTCTAAGGACAAAACATTCGAAATACGGAGATTTTGTTAGTCTTCCCCCTAACAGAACGGACAATGAGAGTTTTGTATTATTTCCCACCCCCCCCCACACACACACTTTTTAAATAATACTACTACTACAGATCATGATGGTGATGCTAATTTATGTCTTTCTAAAATCTTATTTTGGGGGAAGAGCTGAATTTCCAAAATGGTAAGATTAGACCTCAGAAACTAATATGGAAATTAAACCAGTTCCAGATGATACTGAAGGATAGGAGGCAGAAGAGAAGATTGGCTTTTTTCTCCAACCTTAAAAGGTTCCCTAAAGATTAAAAACAGATGTTATGCTGAACTGGACTAAAAATCACCTCCCATAAGAATGAAAGTCTATTTCAGAAGAAGTTAGCTGGAGAAGTACAGTTAGGTGAAAAAAAGAATCAACCCTAAGTCAAACCAAGTGGTCATTTTCAAGCTGCAGCAGTGAAAAGACTGGAGATAACTAAACAGCTGTTTGACAAGGGATCTATGCATTTGTGCATGCTTCAGCCAGTATAAGCAACTGAATATTAAAAAACTTCTTATATTCTAAGCATTTCTATTGATTTCACTCACCACTAATATTTCATAGCAGCTGAAATGGGTCACTGGCAAATGCAGAACATATTCATTCCAATAATATATTGTTTGATTTTTGCTAAGGTTCATGGCACAGTAATTTAAAGTGATATGAATGCAAACATTTGAAATAAAGAGAAGAATGTATTGACAAATATTCACTACAAGTATAAAAGTCTTAACACTTTTCCTTTACTGACTGTAAAAGTGAACACTAAGTTTAAGAGTACAGGCAAGTTAAGAACTCAAACTGTTCTGCCAGAAGTACAGTTTGGTATTCTGGGAACTGGAATTCTCTAGACTTACTACATTATAAATGGTATGTGTAAGAAGCTTAATGATATTGCTTTTAAATCTCCCATGTACACTGGAAATCATTGCTTAAACTGGTTTCTTGGTTTATGGAAACATATACTGCAGGTGTACACTGTGACAGATAAGCCACGGGGACTCAAGTTACAATACGGTACTTCCCGCAGTCTTGCAATGTGCAATAGACCAGTGTTCTCATTGTTCTGAGCTGCACCACTGCCACGATTTTCCTCTTTTTTACACTGGAAAAATCAGCAATAGTTCCACTGAAGTCACAGGAGTGACACAGCTGTAAGACTACTGTGCAAAAAAACAAACAAGTCCTTGAAAATTAGCAGGTCTGTCATCTTTTCAGTACTAACCACACTACAATAGAGGACTGTGTTTTAACCAGGACAGGAGTCTAACGTGTAATCAGATCTCCCAGCACAGCAATTATTTTGTGGGGAGGTAGAACCAAAATGACCATGCTTTACAACCCATGATTTTGTAATTTAGTATATTAAACTTCTGTAGTAATCCTGGCAATGCAACTTCAGTAGAAAAATACATTTTGCTGCCTGCTTTTTTCATGCCCCATTTGGCAAACATTTATAGGTCCCTGTGCTAATCTCTTCAATACTCAAACTACACTAAAAACCTCAGGTTAGTGGGGAGCAGCAAGATCCCATGAGTTAAGGCACATGCCTGGGAGCAGAGTCAGTTTTGTCACTCAACTGCTAGTTGGCCTCAGAGTCTGAGCAAGTTGCAACATCTTTGTGCCTCATCCCTCATCTAGAAAACAAGCTAAGACCCATTCAGACATGGTAAGACACAGCACTCACTGATGCTTACACATGGTATGGATATCCATGGATGGAAGGCCCGGGAAAGAAGATCAGGAGCAGTAAAAAAACACTTTATCTTTAATATTGACAGAAACATAAAGGAATTGTCAGAGACTGAAAGGAAGAGAGAAAAAGAATACAAGGTTTCTGTAAACGTTAATTTGGTTTATGCTACTACTGTTACTAGAAAATAAATATTTGTCTTTATAATTTTAGGGGATTAAATAGATCTTTAAATATTGGAGCTGTTACTTAATAAACTGGAGTCATTAATAAAGTTTTTAAAAATCATTTCTTTACATAAAGACCGTTATACTATCCAAAAACAACTCTGTGTCAGTGCTACACAGCCAAGTTTCACCATCTCCAAGTGTAGATACACAACACAGTTATGAAGTAACTGATCGTGGATTTTACTCCACTCTGATGAGAGACAATCCCCCTGCCCTTCCTTCTGCCTGACTCCACAGAAGTGGTAAGGAGTGGATAAGGTGGCAAGAAAGCCAGTTTTCATTGAGCAAGCGGTTTCTCAAGACAGACTTGATTATGAGAGTGAACATGCAACAGTCCACACAGCAAAATGATTACACATTTCTCTAGGAGTAACTTCACCCTGGATTTGAATAATATACTGTGCACGAGGACTGTGTTTTGGGTGTCTGCTTTGTTTTTCTATATAGTAATGTCAATCTACAATATATTAATGTGTCACGTGTCCATACCCTATTGCATCCCCAAATCAGTTGACTGGTCTAGGAGGATTAGCTCTGGAATGGGAGAGGCATTCACCATTTAACAGTAACTGCACTGTAGGCAGAGGAATAGCATTGCTGCATTTTATAATGAGAAAGATTTTATAAAGATGGTCACCCCTCCCTCAAACAAGCCACGAACCCTTCCGTAAAACAAATGGAAGTTTCGAAGCAGCAGTCCCCCACGTCAAGGTACAGATGTACTGCTGCAGTTTGCTTAGCAACAACTCTAATTTTTTTTCTTAAAAATTGAGCATTCACACTAAATTGCTCACAAGCATGCACTCCAAGCACTTCTAGAATCTTGTTATAAGAAAAATACTTGTCCTTGGTTTTCCCCAGTAGCGCACTAAAATAAGTTCAGGCATTAGCGAGTACCTTGTATAGTAAGAAAAGTCACCAATTTAATCATTTACTTTAAGCAAGCAAGCAATCTGTAAACATTCAAAAGCGGCAGCATCCAAGTTACAAACAATTCAAAAGAAAAGAATTGAGATTATGAAGGTTCTCCTGCCCTTCAAAAATTTTGAAATGATCTTTTAAAACACTACAAAACACAGAATACTCAGTTACATCTCTTATCCTTGTAGTAGTTCTTCCTCACAAAGAACTCCTGTATTTCTAAGATGCACAATCATTGCAATAACTCATACTGTAGAATTTGCTGCTTAGAAGTCAGTCAGTGCACGTCAATCTAAATCCCATTAGCAAAAGTAATGCTCGTGTCTTGATTCAACAGTTCTTTGACTTCCGAAGGCAAAATATCAAAGAGGTGATCTTCCACCACAAGCCCGCTTTTCCTGAGAAGCCGACACTGCCCCAGTGTAACTGGTAGACGATCTAAGCAGTTTCCCTTCAGTTCCAGATGAGTTAGCTGCAACAGCTGGCCAATTTTATCTGGGATTGAGGTAATACAGTTTTGCCCCAGACTCAAAGTCCTCAATTTTACACATTTAAACAATGACTTTGGCAAACTCTCCACTTTGTTTCCTGTTATATGAAAATGCTGCAAATTTTGAAGTGACCAAATTTCCACTGGAATCACTGTAATTGAGTTGTAGCTTACATCTAAACATCTGAGTTTCTGTAAATTGAACACCGCAGCTGGTAAAGATTCGAGTTTGTTATTGGAGAAATAAAGTGACTCCAAGTTCTTTACACAGGAAATGGAGGGAGGAATGTTGACTATTTTATTGTGCCACAACTTTAAACAGGTCAGTCTTTTCAAGTGCTGGAAGCTGATGATCTCTTCAATTGTGCGTATACTATTTGATTTTAAATCCAGTTCCTGTAAGTTAGTTAGACTAAAAATGGCATGTGGAATTCTCTCCAGTTCACAGTTCTGTAGTTCCAATTCAGCTACGTTCATCATTTTCTTAAGGCTATTCAGTACCACAAGCTTGGTGCCATCATTATGAATTACAAGCTTTGTTAGATGAGGTGCCACATCTGTGATATTGGAAGGGATTTTGGTCAAATTACTCTTCACATGGAGAATTTTAAGGTGTCTTAACTCTCTGAGAGATTCAAGTCCTATCATTTTATTGTTTTCAGAGTTCAAGTTGCCTATCAAGTACAATTCACGGAGATTTTTAAGCAGATACACCCAAGCAGGAATTTCTGCAACGTCTGTGAATTTCACATGAAGGCATCTCAAGTGGTCACGGAGGAAGCTGAAAGCAGTCTGCTCAACCTTTGCAGGACAGTGGCAGAGATGGAGCTCCTGAAGATTTGTCATTTGTGAGATTTTAGCTGGAATTTTTGCTTCAGGAATCAGCTCCAGTTTCAGCACATCCAGATCTGTCAGATCAAACACTGCATCAGGGACCCCTGAGAGCATGAAGAGATGCAGCTCTTGCTTATCTTGTGCATTGCGAGAAACATGCTGTCTAAGTTTTTCAAATGTCCATTCATGATTTAAACTAATTTCTCGCAGCTTGTTTTCACTTACCTCTGATAAAAAGACACCAAATCGCTTAGAATATAACTGGTCATACTGATCTACCATATGCAAAAGAAATGCAAAATCATTTTTCACATCAGGAATATCACTGAAGCTGCTCTCTTCTCTGACCTTCTCAAAGGAATACTCTTTTAAGGGTATTCTAAACAGCCAGAAGAGTGTATACAAACAGATAAAACCGTAGACACAAATAAGAGAAATATAGCTGATAAGGAGCTTCTTCAACATGTAAGCCATATTGTGTGTACACTCAAACTCCTTATACCCAATCAGATGCTCTACTTTTGGCTTGCATCTGTGTTCAAAACTAATTGCATTTACAAAGTTAGCAGTGTAGCAAAGAATAAATATAAACTTGACTGTCTTGATGACCGTCTGGACAACATACAGTTTATAAATCAAGTCACTGTCCTCCACATGAGCCCGAAATTTTCTAACTTTCTCAAACAGGGCTTTGGCTTGCTCTCCATCTTTTTTATCCAAAATAGTCATGCTGGGGACCTCAATGACTGGCTTTTCAGCTGAAAACTTGAAGCCAGACTTGGTTATCATGGGAGTACTGGCACTGGGACTTCCTTCATCACTGCTAGTGGAAACGTGCTTTGGCAAGGACTGGGCACCTGTGAGTCTCTGTTTGTTCTCCTCAGAGTCCTCACACGCTGTTTCAGATAATGCTTTTGTAGTCCAAGGGGACTCAAAGCACTTTCCCAATATGGACACAAAATGTTCAATTTTTGAGCATGTCTTCGGATATTTAAACCAGAAGTTGCTACTGACTATTAAAATAATAGTATGTATGAGCGCAAGATAGGGAAAGTACTTTGAATACCAAGGAAGGGCCAAATGATAACACATCTGATTAATAAATACATATTGTTGAAAATCCAAATTGGTTTTTCGCCCTAATGAATCTTTTTGCTCCTGATTTGATACAGTAGGTCTCAACTGAGAAGAGGTGACTCTGCTCAGAGGTATGTGTGGTATTATGGTAGGTGCACCTTCAGAGGATTCTGTTCGCATTGACATTTCTTCAGCTTGGGCAGTGGTTGCTTCAGTGGTTGTTGGTATGAAGTCAGCATTCCCTGATGTGCCGGGTTGTGCTTTTGAACTTACAACAGACTGCAACACTGGCAAGCAGACCACCTGGTCTTTGGTCAGCTGCATCGTTCCAGCAAAGATGGCAACCATTAGCATAACGACAGCTAGATAATCCATAAATACATCCCACCATGGTTTCAGGATGCGATAGGTTGGCTGTATGTCATTAAGCGATGCAACTTCCGTAAGGGTAAACATTCCTGTAACAGAAAAAAATATATATACATAAATCATTTGCTGCTAATCAACTGGATACATATTATTTTACTGGTGAATAACCAACATGACCCCATGACATAAGGAACTTCAAAAGTTTTCTATTGCTTTGTGCATTACGTTAATGTGTGTGCTACTGTCCACCAATCCATTCCGTGGCACTTACCCAGACAAGATCCTTGCAAGGATATCTGTGGTAAGGCACCCCTTAGCACTGTAATAACAGTTTCTTGCTTGCTGTCTGTCAACTGATATATATAGTGGTTTGTCACATTGAGCAGCACCTAAGATCTACACTGTACAATCCCTGGTGGTTTTTAAGACCCGGCTGGACAAAGCCTTAGGTGGGATGATATAGCTGGGGATGGTCTTGCTTTCAGCAGGGGGTTGGACCACTTGACCTCCTGAGGTCCCTTCTAACCCTAATTTTCTATGATTCCACAATATAAATATCTGAATTGTGAAGTGCTATTGTTAATATATTTTATATAATTCAATAGCAAAGTATTATACCTTCTATCAGATTCTATAGACTGTACACCCCTTTGAAAAGATGTGACATGATGTGTCAGTGTCAACTACTTAAAAATATTTTCATTTCAAGCAAAATAAGCAGGAAAAAAATTGCAAAAAGGTTTGCACAATGCATCATAGAGCACATTTTAAGGCTTCTTGCAACAACAGCAGAATCTCTTATTTCTACTGTTTCAAATAGGCTAGAATGTCAATAAATTGCATTGCTTGCAATTCAGCATTCACACTGGTTGCCAAATGTATCTGTCTTTTCCTTAAGTACCATCAAATACTATATCTGAGCAGTGTTAATGCTGCAGCCATTGTACAAGGCATCCATGCCAAAAAAAAAAAAAAAAAAAATCAATTTTCCCTTATGTTATTTATTCGTTTTCCAGTGAAGTACTTACAAACTCCATTTTCCAGAGAAAGTATTTTAAATAAAATCTCTCCTCTCTCAGATAATGAACATTTTAAAATAAACAAGAAATCATTGCATAATAGACATTTCCCCCAAGCTTGTCATAGAAATCTGGCAACTACAGAACATGAAAACTAGTTCTATATAATCAAGCTGTTTTCAAGGGCTTTTTTTTTTTTAAATGAAATTTCATCCATCTTGAATCAGAACTGACAAATTGAATGGTAATCAAAAATTACTACTTTCACAGTTTACAGTGCATCAAATAGCTCTGCTTTCTTTTTATTATTATGAAATGTGGAAGGTTGAACACAATTCTGTTTCTTCAAAGAATAAGCTGCTGCAAGCAGGATGTGGTACACTTATCAGGTAGCTACTGTATCCATGACTGAAGTTTGTCATTGTTAATGTAAAATATGTAATGACACATGAAATGTGCATCATGTAATATGTTCAGCTACAAAGGAGACTACCAGCCAGAATATTAAGAGGCTCTAAAGCAACCAATGTTATGATGGACCACTTGGGTTTATTATTTTTATCTTGAAATACACTTTATTTGTACAGCTTCTCTCTACAGAGAGACTTAGGGCTCCTATACATGTGTAAGGAAGCTGCTCCAACATGCTGTAATTACACTGCATCGGAGCAGACTAAATTAATCAAGTGTACTGGAGTGTCGTAATTACTGTGCTTCAGCAGACTCCAGTGCCACGTGCATCAGCATCCCTGCACTGAAAAATGGCAGTGCAGTGCTTTAAACTAAAGCTCATTCAACAAGCTTTAGTTCAAAGTGCCCAGCCGCCATTTTTCAGCACAGGGTTGCTGATACACATGATGCTCTGGGTGCTTTTAATTAGTGTGGCTCTCAGAGCTGCACTAAATAAAGGATGCCCTCGCCCACCCCTCTGCCTCCCAAAGCATGTCTATAAACTCCCTTAGAGGGCTAAAAATCACAAAAATGCACATGTACAGTACATACCCATTTTCTTAGCTCCCAAACTATATTTCTTCATACAGCAAATAAACTCATTTTCAATTGACAGAATCTATGACAGCACTGTATTAAAAATATATCCTGCTTGGTTTGTCACAGGTCAAATAAGGCAATTAAACAGATGCCTCTTATACAAGTCTGTGCACAGATCTCAAACTGGCTACATTCCATTTGAACAACTGCTTGCACTAAAAAAAAAAATTAAAAAAAAAAATCCACCTTTTCACCCCAAATGAGCAGAAAACCCTTCAAGAAAAGCCAAAATTTAGTCAAAGGGTTATTAAAATACAGTGGATCACAGCAAAATGGCTCTTTTGCTAGAGGTGCACCAATATATTGCTGACATATTGTATTGGCACTGATAAAAAGAAAGTTAACATCATTGCAATCAACTTTTTTTTTTTTTTTTTTTTTTTTTAAATCTGGTATAGCCAATAACATCACCAATAAATGCCATGTGCTTCTGCGCAGCTGCAGCATGCACACGGCCAGAAACGCAGCTAGGCAGCTTAGAGTTACCAACTGGACAGTGCTTTCCGTGGTGGAGAGGAGCATGAGAGAGGCAGATCGAGGCCCCAGAGGTGAGACAGGAAGTGGGGCTGGGGCAGGCGCTGCCCAGCCAGGGCAGTGAATGCAACCCCACCAAAAGCAGGGCAGAGCCATACGTGGGTTGTCCATAAAACATAAGGGGGCAGCTCCCTGATGCTGCGTGCACCCCTGGGGAGGCATGGGGGCATGTGCCCCCGAGATCTGTGCACAGGATAAGGGTGAGCTGCCTGCTGTGGGCTTGGGACCAGGGGCTGCACCAGCCTCTTCCCAGTGAGGGCCTGGGCTGGGGCTGGGGCTGGGAGGGGTGGCTAGTGAATTCTGGGGTGACTGTAGCCCACCCACAGCCACCCCTCAGAGTACCACCACCGTCCACACTGCCCTGCCCCAAGCACAGACCTGACCCCCTTACCCCCCCGCCAGGAAAAGGCCAGTGCAGCCCCTGGCCCTAAGCCCACAGCAGTCAGCTCACCCTGACCCTGCACACAAATCTGAGGGGGCACATATTCCCCATGCCTCCCACAGGGGTGTGCACAGCAGCGGGGAGCCACCCCCAGTAACTCTGCCCTGCTCCTGGGGCTGCATTCTTCACCCAAGCCGGGCAGAGCCTGCCCCAGCCCCATTCCCTCCCTCATCATGGGGGCCTCAGTCTGCCCCCCAACACTCCTTACCCTCCCACAGACTTACTGGCAGGGAGCTACATATCAGCCGATATGGCTGGTTAATAATTGGCCATTGGTATTGGCCAAAAAAGGCTTTATCAGTGCACCCCAGTGGCAGGGGGAGGGGAGGAGTGGCCCCGGGCCTGAGCGTGAGGAGAAGCTGGGCCACTGTGGTGGGAGGAGCAATGGGCCTGGGCCGACTCAGCGGCAGCAGGGGAATGGGAGGAGCAGGCTCGGAGCTGACAGGGGAAAGGGGTGGGGCAGGAGGCTCACTCCTCCCTTCCACCGGCCGCTGCCGCACTGGGCCAGGCCCGCTGCTGCCCTGCCACTGCCGCAGCGGGCCGGCTTCTCTTCTGGCTCAGGCTTGGTCCTCCTCCCAGCCCATGCTGGGCCCAGGCCCATTCCTCCCCTCCCCCCACCACCACAGCACGCCCACTATTCCCCCAGCCCATGTTGGGCCCACTCCTCCCCCCGCCACCACCTCAGCCCTGCAGGCAGCAACAACAGAAGGGCCAGCGCCAGTGGCCTCACCCCCTCCCCGTGGCATCTCGCCCCTGCTCTGATGGCCTCACCCACCCCACCCATCGTTGCCACCTGCAGGGAGCGAGGGAGGCCACCAGCACTGGCCCCCACTGCCCCCACCATAATGGCAGCGCTCCACTGTTGCTAGCTCCTGTTCGAACAATTGTTCGCACTCTGATTGGCTGTTTGTCAGCCAATCAGAGTGCACATAAAGCATTACGGGCAGAGAGACAGACAGACTTAGGCTTATATAATATTTATATATATTTTTTTTAAATAAAAAGACTCTACCAGAGCACTTCCACTGCTGTCCCTTAATAGGTGGTAGCAATAATGAGACAAGCCATCTGCTGTAAATGGTGTTGTACCCATTTTGTTAGTTAGACATTCTGGATGGGGTCTGATGTCAGTAGTTTAAGTAACCACAGCCAGTCTACTCTACAGCTGTTTCCTTACCATAATCCTTACCTTGAGAAAAAGTTAACCATACAAACACTGATTTCATTCCACCTTCCCTAACTTGTTTGTTAAAGCCATAGCCAGTAAGGGATTGATTTCATGGATGTTTTGCCACAAGAGCACTTTTATAAGTGTTAAAATCCAAGCAGCGTGGACATGGTTACTATCATTGGTAAGTGAAGTGACCTTTGCAGGCTGATTGAGAAAAACAAGCAAAGAGGAAAAGCACAGAAGTTCAAGGTAGAATCTTAAACAAATTCTGTATCTGACCTCTTTGTTGAGCACAAAAATTAATTTTAAAAGTTTTAGTAAAGTTCACCACTGTAATCTTCTTACAGTAGGCTTCAGCCAGGGTGATATAACAAAAAGCTTACAAGAACTACAACATTCAGCTCTCTGAACATGTCTTTTCTTTCAAGTTACTGATACTCACAGAAGAACTGCTGTTTCAGAAGAGATTAGCAGTTAAAAACAAAAAGAAACCTCTCTGGTATTACTCGAAAATTTAGCATACTATAAAGAGAAAGGCAGATCTCTTCCAACTAACAGACTGGATTTGTGAAACAAAAGAAGTTCTCTTTTCCTCACCCCTAAAAAATTTAGGAGTTCTCACTCAAAAAAAACAGAACAAAAACCTACACCTATACAGTAAGATAAGATTAACAAGATGAAAATTAAGTGGATACATGAAACAATTGGTCAGTCTTCAGGTTTCTTTGCCCTTGAATTCACTAATCTTTTAACCAGAGAAAACTGATCTATGTTTCAGTGCCAATACTCTGCATTTCACCTGCTAAAGACTAGGATGACTTGAGATTTAAGAGGAAATCACAAATTGCCAAATACAAGCCCCTGTTGTAATGA